GAGGATTCTTAGGGCTATGGCAGCGCTGTCCATGGTTCTCTAAGCGTGGAAATGGGTCACTGTTCCTCTCAGAGGGGCTTCAGATGGAAACTAAAGCGGACAGAGGTTCCCGGGGAAAGGCCGAGAGGGTTGGGGCCTCCAGCCATCTCGGTCTCGGCCTGGATGGGTGGAGGATGGGCACACGGGGACGGCATGCTGTCCTCAGGCGGGGCTGAGTGAGGGCTGGGCCTCGGTCCGTCATCCCCGGACGGGAGGCTGTTTTCCGCAGGGATTCCTGAGAATCTGTACCTCCGTGAAGAACTTTACCTCCATTGTTTATATAGGAGAACATCTCCTGTAACTGGGCTGTTAGAAGGGGCTGCCTTTTACTTTGCCTTTTACTCTGGGGGGAATCACCTGTAGCACGCTCTCCTCTCTTTATTCTCCAGACAGCTTTCTTCCGCCAACATGGATGCACAGCCAGTGATGCCAACACCAAGTATGATAGCCGAGCTGCCCGGATGTACCGGGAAAAGATCCGGCAGCTGGGAAGTGCAGCCCTGGCCAGGCATGGCACCGATGTGAGTGCCTGGTCCCGGGCTGGGGCGGTGTGATGAGGAGGGCTATTCAGAGCCCTGTTTGAAGCGTGTCTTGTCCCTTCCAGCTTTGGATAGACAATATGAGTGGTGCTCCCCCCAGTCACTCTCCGGAGAGGAAGGATTCTGATTTCTTCATGGAACACACTCAGGTGAGTACCCACAAGGACTGTTTCCCATGATTGCTGCTGACAGGTGGTTAACTGGCCAAGGCCGTCTGTGATCCTGGGCATGGATCCCATTCGCCTTGGTGTGATACCTCAGACAGGGAATGTCTGGGGCCCATTGCTAGACAGGCCCAGGTGCCTCCTCCTCCCGGAGTAGGTGTGCCATGTGGCCCTTCTTAGGAACGGACCCCTGTCTGTAGACGGGGGCTAGGGAGGAGGAGAAGCATCTTGAAGGCTCTAGAGGTGTGGGGAGCCTCCAGCAGCTTTCCCTGGACTCTTCCCCTGTCAGAGAGGCACTTGTGGCCGGGACAGTGAAAGGAACCTCCTCGGAAGTCCACCCTGGGCGGAGGTTCCCCCTCCCCTGGCGCTGGGGCTGATGTGAGACTCTGTCAGTTTGAATCCCAGCTCCTCTACTTGGCATTTCCAGGATGTGGCTAAGTCACTTAACCTGTCAAAACCCAGTCTTTGCAGTAGAGATGTATCTACTTTACAGGGTTTGTTGTGATCATTAAAGTTTTTGTATGTGAAAAGCTGTTAGACTTGTGCACTTGTGCCTGGCACATGGTAAGTCCCTACTAGTTGTTAGTTGTTATTAAATTAGGGTATGGGTCTGAGTAAATAGTGGAGAGGTGGAAGTGGCTGCTAGTTTCCTACTTCTTTCTTCCATAGTGAATAGCAACTATAATTGTACTCACTACCTGTCAGTCTCCTTTCCTCATGGGCTTGGAGTCGGGCCTGGTATCCAGAAGGTACTTGTAGGTTCTTGGTGCTCCCTGCAGGCTCATTGAGGTGTCTGTGATCTGGCTTCCTTTTCAGCCCCCTGCCTGGGATGTACCAGCCACCGACCCCGCAGAGCCCGAGCAGCCAGCCCTGTCTACAGAAAGCAGTGGATTGGCACGTGAGTTCAGCCCAGAGTCCAGCCAGGAGCCCTGGTCCTGGCAAAGGCCTCGGAGTTGAGACATCTGGTCAAGGGAATAGGAGTAGGAAGTGTCCTATATCTCTGGGTGGGCTGGGATGCATTTTAATCCTTTGGAGAGAGTAATGGGCATTCCTTTATCTTTTGGTGGCCTCAGCTGAGGAAAGCCAGTGCCTCCTACCCTTGTCCCCTCATCTCCCTAAAGAGAAGTCACAGGAGGCTTTGAGCCTTGTACCTAACTCTCGCCATTGCATCCACAGAGCCGGAGCATGGCCCCAACACGGACCTGCTTGGCACCTCCCCCAAAGCTCTGGGTCAGTATGACAGCTGGCAGGGTGGGGTACCTGGGAGAGGCTCTTTTCAGATCTGCTGCTGCCTAGTCATATGGACTGAGGCCCCAGGACCCTGAGCATCTTAGCTCTCTGGACTGGGACTGGTGTTGAATTCATGGCTTCAACATCAACTGCAAGGGCTTGAGAGCCAGGCCTTTGAATTGATGAACCTGGTGGGTTGGTGTGTAAGGCCTGGGTTGGCCTCCTGGTGGGGGGCTGGCTCTAGCCAAAGTGTGGAAAGGCCAGCGTGAGATGGACATCTAACCCTGAGGTCTGAGGCAGGGTTGGCCTTCTGGTCCATTTCATGGGATTGGGGGACAGCTCTGAACTGCTCAAGGCTGGAGGTGACATTGTCCTTTCTTAGCCAGGGAGGCCTTTCAGGTCTTTGCTACTCTTTAGTCTCCTTCTGGTTCAGGGTGAACAGTCCATTTGCTGACCTCGGTTTGTTCTGTTGACCTTTGGGGGTTGGGGCAGGAAGCCAGCAGGAGACTGTCAGACTGATCACATGAGAAGGCTGGCATGACTTGATCTAAAGCAAGGCTCTGTAGAGGCCTCTGGGCTTGGGAACTACATGGAGGCTCTGGGGTGGGCCCCTTGTTAGCCACAGTCTGTTTCTCTCCAGAGTCCATGTATCTGTCACCTAAAGGGGCCCTTCCTGCCAGAGGTAACCAACAGCCACTTGGGGAGCCTCGCCCCTTGCACGCAGCTTCCTGCTTCAGGAACTGAGGCTGATGTTTGGCATCTGCCCCCGCCTAGTGGTCCTCATATTTGTTCAGGGACTTTGTCTCTGCTGCTTCAGGTCTAGTTCTTGTCTCAATCTGCTGGGAATCCCTTAATCTTGTCTGTCTTAGGCTTAGACTATCCTGACACCATTAATTGGAACTGGTGGTGGCAGCTTTGCCTTCCCTGCCTGAAGCTATTCTTTTTAGAAGCTCTTGCCAGGAAACTGCATGGTGTGGACTGAGCTGCTGCCTCTGACCTCCCTTTGTCTTCACTCATGCCTCACCTTGTTTCTCATGCAGAAATGAAAACCTCCCTCATTGGCAAGAAGAAGCCAGCAGCCACTAAGAAAGGGGTAGGTGGGGAGAGGCAGTACGGGAGAGTGGTCAGGAGTCAGAGTCAGCCTGCCTGGGTTCACCCCTTGGCCCTGCCAGTCACTGGTTATGTGACTTTGGCAAAGGTCCTCAACTTCTCAGAACCTTATCTGTGCAAGGGCTGTGAACATGTCTATCTTCAAGGGGCTCCCGGAGGAGTCCGAGATGTGCACACAGTGTGCTTGGGACATGCTGGTCCGGTAGACATCAGGCCCTGAGGCCTCTGCTGGGACTGTGTGAGTCACCTCAGGCCCAGCTCTAGCAGAGCCCCTGTTCTCCCTCTCGACCATGCTGACTGGACTCCTATTTTTTACCCTGGACTTTAGAAAGAAACCGTGTGGGTGTGCTAGAGTGCCTGGGAGGGAGCAGGGGACGTTGTG